GGGATTGAGACTGGATTTCTGGAATTAGGATGATAAATGGGCAAAACAGAATTTCCACAGGGATTGAGACTGGATTTCTGGAATTATGATCATAAATGGGCAAACAGAATTTCCACAGGGATTGAGACTGGATTTCTTGCCTTACAATCATAACTGGGCAAACAGAATTTCCTTGGGCCGTGCCCAGCAGAGCAGCGCCCGCCGGGCTGGGGCTGTGGCTGCTCTGGGCTGCAGGGGCTCAGCAGGATTAGCAGCCTGAGCAGAGCTCTCTGTGCCCTGCCAGGCTCACTACTGCCTGGGGGACGAGTACCACACGGAGAGCAGCCGCGGCTCGGACCTGTCCGACATCCTGGAGGAGGATGAGGAGGAGCTCTACTCCGAGATGCAGCTGGAGGAGGGCGGGCGGCGGCGCCTGAGCCTGGGCTCGCACGGCACGCTCAAGGTGAGCCTGGGCACCCCTGGGTGCTGCCTTGGGGCTCCTGCAGCCACCCCAGAGCCTGGGTACCCCTGGGTGCATCCTTGGCTCCTGCAGCCACCCCAGAGCCTGCAGACACTAAAGCCTACTCTGCTAGAAGGTAGAGCTGGGCTGCTTTAATGCATTTATTACCTTAGGTTTTTTTTTTTTTTCATTATTTGATAGATAAACTTTTAACTGACTGTTTTCCTGTATGTGATCGTTGCCCTTGCAATTTCTGTTCTGCATCTGGGGTCTCCCCCTGTCTCTGTGAGGATATACTGCATGTGCCACCCTGAAAAATGAGTTGTTTCTGAGCAAGGAGATTTGTAAAGACTTACAAAACAACTTCTGTTTTTCCTGTGTGAGTGATCTGTCCATGTACCCAGTGCTGGTCCCATCCCTTCCACAGGCTTAAAGCTTTCCTGTGGGAAAGGGAGTTGTTTCAGCTTTGTTTGATCAATGTTTTATCAGAACTCCTTGTGCTCTGAACTTTAGGGAATCACCAGAGAGAGTAGGAAATACATTCCAGAAATACTGCTTTAGTACGGGAATATTCATCACGAAAGAAACTTCAATATAACAACTAAAGCATATGCAGAACACTGAACACACCCAGTACTGAATATATATTTGCCGTATTATATTTGTACATGTGAATTGTATTTGCTTTGTGTGTGTAGTAATTGCACAAACTGGGTTTTCTTAGAAAGCACAAACTCACAGGTTAACACTTTCCTCAGTAGATTGTTATTGAACTAAAGTCAGTACTACTTGGTCATGCCTATAAGAATTCTGACCATTGCTATGACTGCTTTCATGTGCTGTGAGTTCAGTCCTTTTATTCTGGTACTGCCTGCAGTGAGACAGGTTCTTTTTCAAAGTAAGAAATTACCATTGTTTGTATTGCTGCACCAGCAGAAAGGCTGAAACCAAAATCCTTCTGCATGCCCATTGTGTCCCCTTCCCTGGCAAAAAGAATGATCCCCAGACTGTTCTTGTTCTGTATGCATCAGAAGGTGTATTTACCCCTTGGATTTAAATTAGTATTACCAGTGTGGATACTGAGAAAGTTCCAGAGCCTTAACTGGTGTGGGAGATCGATTTTGACCTGCCAAGGTTTGCAGGCTTCCCTCGATGTAGTTCATGCTTACTGACCTTTTGTTCACTTCTGCGGTGCTTTATCTCAAGTTTCACAGGTGTTACACACATTTTAAAAACAAAGGAAATAGGTGAAGCAGTCTAAAGTGACTTGGAAAGTTCCCTCTGCCTGGAAGGGACAATGACCAAACGGCAGCTGAGCTCAGAGTGCTGGGAGGGAGATGCTGCTGACATCTCCAGCAGGATCTGTTGTTATTTCTGGGTGCTCCTGAGCCCAGAGGTGCCCCTGATCCGGGCATTAGGCACAAGGAGAGATGATCTCTGATGCAGGATCAGTAATCCTGGCAGCCAGAGCCAGCAGCTCCTGCCCTGTGCTCCCTTCCCTCTCCCAGAGCCCAGCCAGGACACCCCCAGTGCTTTGTCGAAATGGAATAGGAAAATTGCTGAATGTGTCTGCATGTGCAGAATGCTGCTTTTGCCCAGGCTGGGATCGTTTTTACCTGCTTCTGGCACAAACAGAGACTTTTCCTTGGGCTCCCAGGCTGATGTTCAGGCACTGGTTTTATGGAGCAGGTACAAGACCATGATGAGGTTTGGTGGCAGCGCAGACCAGGTGACATCAGAGAGACATCAGCCTGTGTCCCTGGGGCTTTCCCTGGGAGCCAAGCTTTAAAAATGGTGCAGGTTTTTCAGAATTTTAGGGAGGAAACCAGAACTCCCTTGGTGAGGGCTGTGGAATAGCTCTTCTTTGCCAGGAGACTGAAGCTATTTACTGCTTCCATAGAAGCTTTAGGAGATGCAAAGCAAGGCAGCTTGCTGGGGCAGAGCTGTCCTTCTCAGCTGTGGGTTCTGGTTGCAGAGGGATCAGAGGGCAGCTTGGCACGGGGCAGGAAGGAGTTTCAGTGCCATTCTCATCCCCCATGCTGGACCCTGTACGTGGCTTCCATGACTCCGTTTCCAACGCATGACTTTATTCCTGTTAAGAGCATCCCTCAGTTGTTTGCACTGCCCTCTCATGTTGTACCTGGCACCCAGCAACTTCTTAACCACGTCTTTATTTTTCACAGATCCTCATTCAAAGCATGACATCCTTTTCATAATATAAGCTGCATGTCTTACGTTTGCCATTGCTCTAAAACTAATTCTGTCTTTATTTTTCTTTTCTCCCTTTTCCCTCCCATTTTATTTTTGTCACACACTCTTTGTTCCCTGTCTGGTTTTTGGCATTACATAATCTTAAGGAGTACGATAAGAATAAGACCACTGAAGCCACTTTTGTGGAACAGCCTGGCTTTCCCCAGCAGACACGGCACAGTAAAAGGCTTTTCAGTATCCCAGAGGTGGCTGAAGAGGACGGTGAATACCCCGAAGTGCTGTACAAGCAGGGTTTAGGTATGCCCTATAGAAAGAACCCCAGAATAGCTAGAGGCCCCCGGGCTGGCAGGCCGTGCCGGC